AATTTCTTCTCATAGTATAGCTAAATCTCTTTCCGGGATGGCGACAGTTACATTGATGATGTGAATAGGTCATTAGATTCACACAGACGAAACAGACACTAGGAACAGTACTTTTAGGAAGCATTTTGCATCAGCGCTCAACCTCTGTAAACACCCAGAAACGTCCAAAAGTTATAACCTGTTCATTCTTTTTAGCGCTATAAACTCTGGACAGAAAAATTTTCCATCCATGATCCTTTCTTCTTTTAACCTGCAGCCTAATCATTTTTGTTCGAGAGCCGTGAGAGGTAGAGGTAACCATCAGGCCAGCAGTGCCACAGCTTGTGAGGTTAGTAGCCGTATTCGATACTGTTGTCCATACACAGTTTCTGTAGTATTTAAAGCTTTTTCATAGTTTGCCTGAAAAGTTACATTCAAACCTCTTACCGGCGGTAATTTTCAGAATCTTTGAGCCTCTGGCTATTCTGTGTACATCTTTGACTACTATCTATTTGTCAGTAGCTTGATACCACTGCGGCTCCCACATTGAAATCCGCGGCCGTAAAGACTTTTGGCGAATGGCCTTCTTGGAGCCAGTTGGTATGCCTGATGATCTGCCCATAATACCTTGCTACAATGGCTACCAATGACTTCCCTACCACTGCCGTTTCAGTAATCGCCAAGTGGTATGTGACCCTGTCTTTCGGTAGATTATTCACCCTGCTCATTTGTCTCCATGCTTATTCGCATTTTGGCGAAACGTCTTTTGTAACAAGTCAGCAGTTTGTGAAGTTTCATTTGAGGTTACGTACCGAAGTGGAATCAATCCACCTTTGAAAGTACAGAGGTGTCGTCTGTTGTTCACTTCAAGGCAAATCACTTGTTGTCTGCGGGCACTGTGGGGAATTAGAAGATTCCACTAATCCTAGAAAATTGTAGTCACAATCCTCACGTTCCTTCCAAAAAGGAATTCTTGATTCCGGGAGATATTCAACAACTGATCATCCAGCAAGGACTTCGTGAGCGAAAGAGGACATACATATCTAGTCAAATTTCAAGTTAATCATGCTGCTCACCAGCCAAATGTTATACATTTCAACTGCCACCGAATAATTGCGTATTACAACTAGACCCTAAATATTATCGACGTGTGTTACCAATGATTGTCAACAGGGATCAAACAGCCATGAAGCTATTCCTGGCTTTACAGAACTGAAATCCATTTTACCTGCAGGTTCTAATCCACTTTGTGGGTGATACAATCATTTGAATGTTAATTCCTTCTATCGCTACTTCGCTAATTCTCAGCGTGAGTGAAATTTGTGTTTGGCACACGATGTTGTGCGAGCAACTTACATGGTCACAGCCTCTCCAGTGTCACAGAAGAGCATTCGTTCAAATGACCTGATTAGTGTAGTGTTGTGCGTTGTTTCGCAGTTTATGAGTTGTGTCATGAATCCCATAATTGACGAGACTGCTGTCCACCAGGACAGCATGTGAATGGCCATATCAAAGTTAGCACTTTCCACAACTGTGTGACCTTAACAATTAAGCCGCATCCAACCAATGATATTACTTTTGACTTCATGCCGAATTTCCATTGCGAAAAGCGTACATTAGCCTAAAATTGTGAGGTAGGTGGTCCTGTGATTTATCGAATAAATGCCAAATTCCGTGAGCAAAGCAAAACTGCAACTCTCTTGGTAAACTTAATCAAGAACCACTAAGCAAGTCCGGTCATCAGGAAGACACACTTGTATAACAACACGAACGATAGGGATCATCTGGAACTCGAGGTCTACTGAGATTTGATGCGCTGCTTCACATCACTTCAAATATTTAACGTTCAATCGTGGTCTCAACTGTGAAGCCCTCTAACGAATAATACTAAGTGCGCATTCGAGGTTCATTTGTCGGATGAGCTAGGCCACTCTAGCCTGATCGGAATGAGTTCAATTTCCTATCAGGCAATGTATCAGAGACAACCTTTGTTACGGTAACAGTCAACAAATCCATTTGAGCCTTTCACTTTGGGCATCTTCTTTGGGCAAACAGTCAGACCAGGAACCGAGGATCTGATCGGTTTCAGTTCTATAGTGTTTTTAAAAATCTCCTTGTCTCTATGGTTTTCTGTGGCTTGTTTCGAGGGTGATCACTGTGGTACCATTGAAATTACCTAGATTCCTCAAAAACTGATCTTAGTCAGTATGTTTATATACAGAATGAACGATGGAAATGTCAGGTAAACAATCACATCGGTTGCTTACCGCATTCGGTCTATACGTGCTTTCCGATTACCTTGGGACATTAGTAAAGTCTGAGCAATCGGACATAAACCAAGTCTTCAAAAAATGAAAGTCATATATGTAAACGAAAAACGAACCGGTAACCTTAGGACAAGTTGTTTCCATGTAATTTTTGAAAACACTTATTCTGATCTTGGTAATGTGCATGTCGAACAACATGTGACTACAGCTGAAGCCTACGCACAGTCTGCACAGCCATGAGCGACCACATTTCTACACCGCTCCTACGTCTAAATGGTCGAGGTTTATACCGTACCTTATCAATGCAAAACTAATTTTGTTTTCCTTGACATTCGTGATTCGTGTCTAACCAAACCATATAAACTTCCGTTCAGGATTACACGCTTTCTTACGGAGACACTTGTGGACAAGGTTGTTTTACTTGACCTGACTCACCACATATCAGTTTCAAAAAGCTCTTATGCCCTCAGGTATTTCATCCATGGAGACCTACAACCGCTTTCGCATTGCTGTGTCTCCTAGCAACACCCAGTTGGCCTCATTTGAAGCATGCAACCTTGGGATGTTCAGTTGACATCAAAAACTTCGTCTCTTCTCAAGGAAAGCTCTACGAGCGTTTTGGCAAAATAGTGCGAATTACTGCTGTAAGGATTGCTCTCTCGCAAGTGGTCACAATATATTAGCTGGGTTCTCAACTGGTTCGGGGCCGGGGATTATGTAGCATCCACTATTGATATAACTGGATCTCTTTCTCATAGAATTTAGGCAACCGCTGAAGTCAAGTTTGGCTACAGCCATCACTATTTACTCTGTCTTAAGTCATCTTAACTTATAAACTACCAGATTGTTGCTGAGATTTTATAACTAATCACACTTATTTACGAAAACAGTGAACTTGACATTATCCACCTTCGAAATGAAGGTACCGTTCACATAGTTTGCCGTGCTTACCTCCAGCTGCTCCGACTCTGCAATATTCAGGATCTCTGGCAGTGGAAAATTTTGGACCGTGACGGTTTTCACAATGAACTTCTTTTTTGCTGAAAGTAGTTTCTGCAACATGGAGTCAGTACTAGAAATTATTTGCTCCATACCGATTACTTTATTAATCACGCAGAAATCCGGTTCCTTCTGTTTAATAACTAGACAAACTTTGCGACCTAGTCAGTTAGCTGACAAAGTTTTGTATCAAAAGCCAAACCTTGATCGATAATAGAAAGACCCACTATTTATGGAAACGTACCGGGAAGTGTTGCTGACCTATGGGTTCTAAGTGTTTCCTGTCTAAGTCAAAATCGTTCATGATACATTTTGTAAGTAAAGACTTGTATGGACTGGAATTTATTTGAAAGCGCAAATAGAATACAGAACTTTTATTCAGCAAGACACTTGCCTGCTGAAATTTCAATACAGTTGTGTCTGAGCAAGTCATAAGATTTAAACATTTAAATTTTTAGGTAAAAATTTCAGAGGAGGCAATTAATGTTGAGTCGGTTGGAAATCTGGTAGGATGTACAGCCCGCTAGATGTGAACACTAGACCATCCCTTGTGTGTATCAACCTCAGCCAAGTTTATATCAAAAATGCAGCAGAGTTTTTCCAAAGTTATTGTTCTCAAATTCAAAGTTTCATGGATTCACAAATTTGTTCTTACGCTGTTTACGATTGACAGAAACCAAGCGTGAGAAGAGGTAAAACTCGACAAACTTAAGCATGTTTTAGTAAGGTTTCCAATATAACAAGTTGCTCTTTTGTTTTTTATTATTACGGCACAATGTATGAGTAGGATTTTGTGCAATAGGTAGAAGGTTTCATAAAAACATCGGCTGATGTCTGCCGGAATACACATTGGTATCATTCTCGTTAGAACTTCCGACCTCCTGTCTCTCTACAATTACTCTGGTGAGTCCACACTAATACCTAATCGAAAGTTGTTCACTTGAAATCAAGCGTCCGTGGCGCTTGAGGAGTTCTGACAGGCGGGTCAAACGATCGATACAACCAGAACTGTTACAGGGTCGTCGTCGTTCGAGGCGTCGAGCGAACTCAAGTGTGAATGTTTTTGACTGTTGAAAAGTAAAAATTTAAGTGTTTAATGTACTCTGGTATTCTAGTTGTAGTAAGTTGGCATTGCGTGCCGGATTTCTGCATTCAAATCCAGCCACGGCCAGGGATACGCACCACCCATCAGCTGTAATAAGAGCGAAACGCGACAACAATGGTTCCGCTCAATGATGTGGACAGATCAGGATAATTGCGCCAGGACAGGAGGAGAATTGATCATACAACAGTAATGTGAATGGGAAATGGAGACGAGTTGTAGTTGGATTTTCTTCACTCAAAAGAACTTGGTTTGGTAACTCAAATGCTGTGTAAAGCTGGTGTACTCAGTAAAAAGAGCTCATTCTGGAGCAGATAAACAAATATGACCAAAGGGATAGTAGAGGCATGAACTTCCTTCTAGCAGTTCCATTCCTAATTATTGCAGTCGGATTGCATGTTTTTGGAATCCTTTGTTCGCCACATAATTCTTCTATATAGATGTGCCTGATGAAGTACCTTGAAAGGTTATCTGAGGTATTGGAGCCATATAAACACGCCTGACATGGGGCTCCAGTTTCGAAACTTGGGAAACTCTCTTTGTCAGCACATCGAGTGTGTGTTTGGACACGATTTGATTAGGATCGTTGTTGTGCACTTATTTGGCACTAATTAAAACACCAAGTTTCAAAACCAGTAGATCTAAATAACAACAATTATATATGTATATATATATATAGTGGGAGAATAATATTGAGGGTAATCGTTTGAAATGCTGTGATATCACACGTAAAGAAGGGTGAGCTTTTTGATAAATGTTGCATTATTAAGGGGGATACCTTTTTAGAGTTTTACGAAAAAAGAATAGCTTTTTGCACGAGAGTTGTTATACGTTATTGAACAAAATAATGGCAGTGATCAGTTTGGAATCTATGACGGTGTCGAATTAAAAATCGTGATAGCAAAATTTGAAAGCAAGCAAAAATACAAAAAGTGGATCATAATGTTTTGACAGCCATGTTTTGATTTAGCATTCATCTCATGCAGGCCACATAAATAAAAGTAAACTTCAGTTGAAGGGAGTTACCAATAAGCCTTGGCCTCCTACATCAGAGGGTAGGAAGCTCTAGAAGCTACGCCACAGAGATTGTGGTGGTTGCGACGAATCTTCACATAGCCCAGTTCACCCCAGTCAACACCCCAACTGTTCTTAATCAACCAGTAAGGTATCCCATTTTCCTCACCGTAGCCCACAACCAGGACGGCGTGATCCAATTCATCGGAGGAACATTGTTCATCTGAATACACGCCTGAAACATACGAAAGTAAATGAGATGCAGTTGTGGGAATTCACAAGAGCTTATTGACTAAATAAAGTCATTCTCGACTGAAGTTCGTTGTGCTGAAAGACCGGGCTGAATATCACCTGAATCTCTTGTTTATGACATTCTTTAAAAGAATGTGCCTGTGCATCCTGATTTTCCTTGCTCTGACATCTATGTACTACAATAAGGCATCTGAATAATAGATTTAGATCTAAGCGAATTCGTGACACACCTAAATTGATCACCGGCAAAAGACTACTTTTAGATGGTTGAACTTGGCGTGGTGGTCATAAGAGAAGACCCATTCAGCGTCACTTTGTTTAGCTGAGCGACATTAAAGTACCCATGGAAGAGTAGGAAGCACTGGGATTTGTTCTGACTGCATCATTGGCATGCAGCACTTTGGCTACACGTGTGATATAATCTTTGCACCATGCTTTTACTCAATCGGACAGAAAGTCTTACTCAGTTCGGCCTTCATGTTATTAATTCTCATACAGCATTGGGAACTGACTACTTCTTTGTCAACTTTTTAACTACAATAGAATTTGTCCAGTGTACGTTTCGAAGATGCAGAACAGGGCCTTGTTTAGACCGTTATGTCCTCTCAGGGAGAATGCTTTGAAAATACCAAGAGAAACCAAGCAATGTGAGACTCAGTGAAATGACAATTAGCACATGCAGTTTAGACCTTGTATAACATACAGAGGAAAATTAAAAAACAAGTCATGAAACCCTGTCAAAAGCCGCTTGCCAGCTTCTCACTTGGAATATAATGCTTTGCAAGACGAAACAAATTTCGGGGACACTAACTAAATCAATAACCACGACGGAAGAACACTGTCCAGTCATTCAGCCTAAAAGGTGAATTCAAACACCACTGAGTAGTTTCCAACCGATGGACAAGCTGAGTCAGAATCTAGTCTGTTAATAAAAAAGGGCAACTGATCAGGTGTCACAAACCTTCCATGCAACACATGACATCTTGTGATGGGATAACAATTAGAAGAGTCTTCTTCGTAACTGCTGTGACTTGGACAGAGCTGCCGTGCAGCATGCCCAGGAAAAATATCTTGGTGCGGTGATGTTGACTCGGTGCCGAGACTAAAAGTAATACAGCACTACGGAAGCCAACTTCGGGAGTAGTGTTTATGCGCGGCAGGATTGACCGATAAAACATCTCACATATGTAGACCAACTGGCCGCACGGATACCAAGCGAGATTGACTGAAGGATTTTCACATATAGTCAACACTAGACAAACCAATGAAATGGTGCACAACAGTTTTGTTGTCGGCTTCGTTTTCCAGCCTTTGTGTGAAATGCTCTCGATTCGATAAACTCTAATATTTATGGGTCCACAGATATGATGCGCGAGTTGAACGAGCTGAACGAATTGAACGCACCAGCGTCTACGAAGTAAAGCTTTGGTAACGAAACACCATTTAGTAAATTCGAGTGGAATTGAAATTCACAATCACTTGATAAAGTACTGGGTAGCGGTATACACAAACATGCCGGAGTTTGTAAACAAAATTTTACATTTCGACTCTTTAGTCTCGTGGTAATAGTGTTATGCTGTTTTTATGGGTGTGAACTGGTAAAACTTTGGCCCTTCATGTCATTTGTCTCTTTCATATTGATTACTACTTATGATATCAGTGTGTCAGTTTGTATACCACACATAGATGTAATAACTGTTGATCTACGCCCACCTCTTCATGTCCCTAAACTTAAGCAGCACACCTGGATGGTTTTAGTTTGATTCCATTTTATTAATGGAGACAGTCGCATTGAAATATTTAGCCAAGAGCTGTTGGATAAAAGTCATCAGCTGCGGACAGTGGTGTATCTGCACCATCCTACAACCTATAGTCGTACTGATGAAAATAGCGATACAATCTTATTCGGGTATCATAGCAACCATTACTTCAGTTTTGGAAGTTTAAAGTTCTACACCCTTGTATATTTCGTATGTACGTTTCTTCCATCATCAGGGTGCTCTAGGTCTGAGGACAGTAGCACAAGTTTACCACTCCAAGAGTTTATTGTAGCTTGCAGGGTGGAATCCAAATTTAATCTAGAGAATAAAGCAACAACAGAACACGGTTTTGCACTGTATAATTTACCCAAGCACTCATCCAAAACAATGTACCACCGAAAATGCAAACTCTTCGGGTTACGATGATTGATCCTATACCTACATGTATTTAACAAAAGGTTGGGCGCTGTCTAACTTTGACTATACAGCGATTTCGGTCTATTAAAAGCTTCAAATCAGACCGAAAGCATCCCACTATCTTATCAGATGGTAAGTAAAATCTGGTAAAACAAACGTGCTTTTCTTCTGCTGCTTCACATTTAATGTGAGGTCCAGGTTTTTTGGAATTTGTTTGTACGTGACAACCAGAAGCAAAATTGAGCAAAGTACGTAGCACCGATTAAAGTGCGCAACAGCCACAGGGCATTCCGCAAAATAGTAATTTTGCTCCGTTGTCCAAAAAATCCTTCGGCAAAATTAACGTTACCTGTTTTTCTCAATGTCTTAATGTTATTGCATCAGTTCCACTTACTCACGGAGTTGATTTGGTACAAATTATTTTAAAAATAGGAATGATTCTTGTGCCGACGCATTCCATAAACAGCACTGTGAAACCAGTTAACTGCTGGTGGAAAAATCTGTCTGCAGTGTGATAATCGTTGAATAGCCCAAATTTACTTCAATAGAAAGGAAGAAAGCTCGGTGAAATGCTACAGCACAAAAAGGCTTAAGAATACATCACTTGCAGTACGAATCAGTACGGCTTCCGGTATGAAACAACTTACTCAAATTTCCGAACAATGTTAGCCTAAAAGATATCCCTTCTACTTCCTCGAAAACCAACCTTATGGAAAGTTCCATAGACCGTATCAACTCCTACCTGATTTGTATCCCACAAAACTCTCAAGACTCGCGTGTATTGCAACGGAGATGGGACCATGTAAACCAACAGCTTGCTTCAGGGCAGATTCATTGCCACGAGGTAGATCCACAATCCCGGTGACTGTAGTAGCGACAGTTTTGCCATGAAACTTACAGTGGGGATTAGGGGCACCCGTTTCCCCGGAAATGTAAGGATAATTAGTTTCGGTGGTGATTCCATGGGTATGTTTTACGTATTTAAACGCGTTGTCCATCCAACCACCCGAGCAGCCGAAATTTCCGAAATGTGAGCTACAATCTACAAGCTGCTGTTCTGAGAGTGATACAAGCTGTTTCGTTGCCATGAAATGTTGGCCCTCAATAGCGCCCGTGGCTGAAAAAGCCCAGCATGAGCCACATTGTCCTTGGTCTTTGACTGGAGTAACTGCTCCTGTAGTGCGCCAGTCGATTGATGGAGGCGGTTCTGTTGCGATAGTGATGTATTTCGAATTTACCCTTGATGTGTTTCTAAGATCACGAAATCCTAAGAGCCGCCTGAATTCTTCTGTTGTCTGAAGAAAACGGTGAGATGAAATGGTCCAACTCACTCGATCACTAAATCTATTAATTCCCATTGTGTAGAAAGTGTCGCCTTGGATGTAACGCACGTTATGTTGATTGACTCTGATAAAATTTCTTGTGAAAATACGAAATCTTCTGGCCTGTTCAACGGGACCAGCATATTCTCTTTTGTATTTTTTCACGAAATGTTTCCAAGCTCCGTTCAGTGCTACGTCCCACCGATCTCCAAAGATATTGTACAAATAGTATGCATCAAGCAGACTTAAATGACCAGCTGCTTCCCATTTAGTAAAGTTTTGAACTAAAGTCAGTTGTGCCAAATCAGATGTTATTGATTTTCCGTAAGCTTTATATGGTAGAAAAGTCAATATGGCAGCCAGTAGAATGATACCCATAACGTTACAAAACGCAGGATTTTCAAAAAAGTCTTCTTGTTCACGCTAAAATTTGAAGAATAGAGGAATTAAAGTATATCTATGTCCATGGTTTGCAAAACCTACAGAGTTTTGTCTGAATCTTGACGTAAAATCATGGGCTATGAATTCTAATGCAGACTAACAACGTAAAACCCTAATCTAGTCGATAAGGCCGTTCTCCTGGATCATGAAGGGTGACTGCCCCACAAGTCTGGATTGGATGGTGCGGACAACGATTAGTGCCCACTCGATAACTGCGGAAAAGGAAGGAGAATATCAGCGAATATACACTCATTTGCAAACCAATTTGGTTTTTTCGAGAGACTCACCTGGAACCCAGATGAATCTCTCGTTTATGATGTTCTCAGGCAACTGAATGCGCTGCACCAGGCCGCTTCGTTTTTCAGTCGCTACGATATTTGAAATATCGCGATACATGTACATCGTTGTATTGTACTACTCATAAGGTTGCTGAGTGTATATTCGCTAATTTCGTGCAAGTTGGTTTCAAGTGGAACATAAGGTTGACGGAAACCCAGGAACTGCGCCTACCTGATGAGCCACAAGAAGGGCGAAACCGGTCGTGGGCTGTCGGTGGATTTTCAGCAACCTTATGAGTAGTACAAAGCAACGAAGGAGAATATCGTTATTGGCGTTTTGTCTCATGACAAGTCGAAAACAACACATTCTGGACCAGAGCCTTTGTAAGTTAGATGTTTCGGGTCCTGAGTCACAGATAACAAGCACTGCATGATGACGTTTCCCAAAACTTCCTATGTAAGTTTGTGAAAATAACGTTCCCCACGTTCTAAGGACAACTGGTCACCATAGTCATAAGTCGGCATTTTTCCAAAGGCCGAAGTTTCATTGAGAAATGAGAGGATCGATCTGCTGCATTTTATTTAAAAGTCCCATATATGAATCGCCCAAAAAGTGCATATAAATGCAAACACTGAACACTTGCCTTGTTTGAGTGACCCTAAAATTTGAAAATGCTCTATCAAATACTGGGCATTATTTGTCATGTTTTAATGGATCAAGGGACCCCTAGGGCACTGTGTCTGAGACATCTTGCCAAGATAGTCTACCGTCCAATTCATGGTCTCTCCGGAAGGCTTCGTCGAAAAAGCTAATTCATCCTTGCTTCCCGGAATGGGAAGGTCCGCTCTTTCCAGTGCTTTGACGAGGAGTTGACCATCTGTCATCATGGCTTGACTGTGCGTGGAACCAGCCAGAAGCTATTCATCGTCCAGTGAGTGAACTTGGATTGTTTTTTTCACTTGAACCGGTCCGTCCACTATAGTCGTTACCACCCCATACACTTTATCTCATCTCATTAGTCAGTTTGTGTGACATTCCTAAGACAAACCGGTAAGCTCAACACTTTGAGCAGCCTAAACCAATTTCACAGATGCCCTGTTGTATCCGCAAGAGAGTATAACTTTTGCCACATTATACCTATGCCAAGTACATGCACATACTCTGAAAAGCGAACACAAATATCTCCTAGTTGCACATGGACAAACGCATGTGCGTACTTATGCGACACCTTGAAAAAACGCTCATGCCGATTGGCCAGATGAAAGATCGAGGTGGTGACTCGGATCTATGGAGGAATTTTGATTATAGGTTACCATTTTGCGTGTTTCTCGCTATTTGTAGAATCAATTCACCTATGGTAGAGGTAGTTTTGAATTAAACTAAAAAGATTGTGGGTTGTTTGCGACCTTGGTCTAAATCTATTCATCAAACAGTAGGAAATAAAGGAAGTACTGCGCACCCAATATAAGACCAAACACGGCAAATGATTGCGCTTTTGACCAAAACCAATCAGTTTATTTAGCGAACCGGTAACCTGACGTGAGAATGTTTCTTCAGAGGACTCTTTCTTTAAACCTCTTTGCTCTTGCTTTGTAGCAAAGCAGCGTATGGAGAGCGAGAGACTATCATGCATCGGACGTATTGGATTTGTTCAGAATACGATGAGAAACTGACCAAAAATGATTAAGTTTCAATAAAAGATGGTTCGTGCAGGGAAATAAGTCTGTCCAAAACCATAAGGAATGAGTTGCGTTGAAGTATAAAAGGCTTTGGTAACGTTCTGCACAAAATGACCTTACAGGTTCTAATTATGGCTCCGTTTGAAATGTAGGTGCACTTTTACAACAGCTAGAAAGTATACTACCCATGGTTTAGGACAATATCTTTAACAAGACAATATTCAGGGTTGGAAAATGATTTGAACATGCTTGACAGCTTCAACTTATAAAAAAAGACATTTATCGTTATTTCGGGCCCCTAGAACATCTACGTGGGATAGAAAAACTATTTACAGTAATCGTAATTGAGGTAATGTATAAACCAGTTAAGTTCGCATCTTTCGGGATATTGTATCCTCTAAAATGTTATGTTATCTTAGTTAAAGTTTGAGTGAGTTTATATAAAAGCGTGGCGTTTTTGTGCCCCGTTTACCGAGGGCCGGTCATTTCGTCGTGTTTTTTGCAGAAACACAGGTTTGCCTTTTGGATCAGCCTCCTCAACAGATGGGTCTCTGATGGGCAGTAAAATGGGAGGATGCTGGTTCCTATGCAGCTTTACCAGTCAGAGAGGTAGAAACTGAAATTTCTCCAAAGGCCTAGAATACAGCCCTTTCAACGCAAAAGATACAAATGCCACGGTTCTTGTACTTGTAAAATGGCGCGAGAGATTTGTAGAAGCATAGTGCATCCCCTAAAGTTTCACAGTTTCCAGACGTACAAGCTCTGAACTTGCTCTTAAAAACTTAGTAGAAAACTCTGCGGAGTCACCAAAGATACCTTGAGCATTGAAAAATGCACAGCCTCCGATGGTAGCTTAACAGCTGAAAGCAACAAACAAAACTAGAGACCTCTTGACGGTTTGCACTGCATTGAACACTGGAGCATAAATCTTTAAGTGTCAGTAGCCATGAAGGCAAAATGTCAAACGTGCCCAGGGTGCTCGGCTACTTAGGTCTTATTCACATATTAGAAACAGGAAAGGTGTTTTGGTAACTAATTTAAAATTTATAGCATATTTTTTGCAGGCGCATGTATAGCAGCCCACAAAATGCTTCACACATCATGGAATTGTGAGTCCATGTTAGTCGGCATATAGGCTAGCACAGGTAGGGACAAACTACAGTTACTTAATGTATCGATAGCAAATTATATGTCTGTTTGTGTGGTAATTCGAACCCGACTGTGATTTCATCACTCATCGTTTACTGAATTCATCCCGTTACCGATGAAAGTTCCAGGATATTTGTGTGCCAACGACAGCCGATCGATAACTAATACGAACTCACCAGGACGTATTCCCCAGAACCTGATTATACTAGCCGGTCGACAAGACCCAAAGCAAGGGGTGACCATCAGGGACTCCATTTGACTTTTACCCGCAGTATGAAATCCAGGCCAACAAGTTAATGGTTAACTTCACTTCTCATGTAAACTTAAGGGATGGCCCGCTTAATTTCGATCAGTAGGCTGTCTCGACAAAAGACAGATGCTGAGCGTTTCTGCCATTCATTACTCTTCATCTGTAAATTCTGTGAACAACCGCAAATTGAACGAACCCTTAAAGGTGTGAGAATACTTGTTCCTAATTTTTGCTGGGGATGGCAGAAAACAAATCATGCTGGTACATTCAGCAGTTCCATGAGGCTTCGCTCAACTTATTCGTAAGTGGTTTTGAAACATCTGTAAGCAGAATACGTCGTACGCGACAAATTATAGAAAGCGGAAGTAATGTAGGCGAAGTTTTGGGAGATAAACTTCGGGAAAGATCCATGAGCTTTGACTGCTCAAAGTGTTAGAAACCAGTCTGAGGATAATGAGTTCTGCAGAACCTGATAGAGCAGCCATGTAAGTTTTGACGAGTCAAAGACTAAAAATTTATCGTAGCCAAGATTTCTTTACTCGGTAGGTTGCCAGAAGTGCAAGCCAAAATTGCTTCTGTTTCCTGTGCTAGCTTAATCATTTTTTATTCATCTAAACCGAGGACTTTTCCCTTATGCTGCAGCTGTATCTGAATAAGGACTTTAAACAAAACGCTCATCAGGTTATGTTTGAGCGAACGGAGGCCAAGTCGGAAGTGCTCAGCTTGACTGTCGACGACGCCTGCTACTTTTGTATCGCGTAGAGTTACTCAGACCACCTTGAACAATGATCCCTATTTTTATCTCTTCTAAGAGGACGCAAGAGCTATAGGGAACTATGAAGTGTTTTTTGATGCAACAATAGAGACCTAATAGATGGTTATTTTCTAACTTTTGCGAGTGAAGCTGTTAGATTACTAACTGAAGTCCGTTATCCTTTTCAAGGCTGAGTTATTGGGTGACTGATGTTATACTCCATTCAAACTTCCAGTTCGTTAGTACAGGAGGCTTCCTAGGCAGATCGTTGCTAGGATAAAGAAATTACAGTGGTCTCAGAAGTGTAAACTTGGGTGCCGCTGCATCAATCTGGTGGAGGCCAGACATTATTCCAAAATGCATTTCTGCAGTTATCAGGGTACAATCTTTGAATTAGAGCACAACATGTTTGGCAAGCCGTCCTTAAAAGACAGCGACTTGTCCACAACTTTAGATAATTCAAGGCAAATGACATCTTTCTCCATAACAAGAACAGGACTCATACTACAGCTATTGCCGATGAGTAGGAATAAGTCGGAATCCATACTGTTCCAAATAATAAAATTGGTAGGCCGGTAGGCAGCGTGATTCTGGTATGTGTTGAATATGTTCTCGATGTTTCATTCCTAACAGACTTCCCAAATATGGATGACATGTTTTTAGTTCTATTGTTCGTCGCTTCAAAGTGGTTGAAAGAATAGATGTGCTGAGCTTCCACCCCCAAAATTGTTTCTGTAGTTGTGGAACCCATGTGCATACTTCGCAGTGTATTACCTAGCCTCACTCTGTCGATCTGAATGGCAAACTGATGCAGTCCACTATCGCTACCACAGGAATTTATGCACGTGGGTCTGTCCAGCTCCAAGCTGTGGTCAATAGTGCGTGTGGCTTTTGTCACCTTGCGGATGTAAACTGCATTTACTCCGCGATATGTTTATTTTGTAGTGGTGAAATGTAAAAGTCCCTTTAGTGGGACAGTTACTCCACACTTTTCATACTCGACATCTTTTTTCGATCATGTGCTGCATTTCCCCGCATTTTAAGCTTACTTGCAGGCTCAAAACTAAGCCTACAGACCTCCACAAGACTGAAGGTCAAAATATAATGTCCCTGAGATTACCAAAGCGGCTATTCTCATTGTGCTTTGCAACTTATACAGCGTTCAACAAATACTGGCTTGTGCTAGCCCCCAGGCTTCGTGAGCCATACCAAGCGATTGCTACTAACTCATCAGATGAGATTCCTGGGATATGTTCTTAAAACTTCGTGAAGACAGAGGTCAAGTTTTCTT